CACTTTGGGTTTGCTATGCGTGGAGGATAGTCCACTCGATCGGCCGACCATGTCTGATGTTATTTCTATGCTGACTGGAGAAATGCAACTACCGCTGCCGAAGAACCCTGCATTTTCCACAGGAAGAAGAATGATAGAGACAAATGTGGAGGAGGAGGAGATTGAAAAGTACTCAGTGAATGGCCTATCAATGTCTGTGATGGATGCAAGATGAAGGCAAAGATGATTAAAATACAAAGATTTTTTCTTTGCTTAAGTGTATGTTTCAGAAGTTTGTTTAAGAATTCTTAGTCATATACCAAAAGAATGAAGAAACAGAGATGTGGGCTCAAGCGTGGAACATCATTGCCACAGCAGCAATCAATTATATCGAATCGGTTTCAAGCACTATTGGTCTAATAATTTTTCGGACTTGAACACAATCATTGCCAAAGCCACTATATTTAAGGAACAAATATGAGAATAAGAAAATAAGTTCAATCAAGCTTGATTTGAATTTTTAGCCTTTGAATTTGCTGTCAAAGTTTACATATTACCAGATTCTCTGTCCATCAAGCCATGAGTATCTTTTCACTTCATTTATGGTTTCATGAGCAGGGATGGTGTTGCCCTTTTGTGCAATTCATTCAACAGCAGAGCATGTAATAGTGAACCTTCCCCTGAGTTTCAAAAGGGCACGGGGTGTGGGGGGGTTCATGCATTTACCTTTCGTTAAATATAGGCGTCTTTGTTTTGGTACATGAGAGAAAATTTGCCTAGAGCAGTGCTATTTTTTTACTAATGTTCTACGGTGATAAATTGCTATGGTTCTTATGGAGCAAGGATCATGGTATAACCATTAAGCTTCTTCATTTGTAATTGCTCAACTTGATTGTGAACTTGCATAATTGCAGGTACCTAGTTTTGGTCAGTCATTTTCTTGGAGCCTCAGTAACACACCTGATTTCGTGAAGCAATTACTATTTAGAAAAGAAAATGGTGCACATATCTAAATTGCAACATTGAATGATTGAAAAGGGTTTATGCAGTGCATCTCAATTTTCCCTAGAAGATTATTAAAGAGCTCTGATAGGAACGTCTAAAGAAACTTTCTAAATTTTGCTTTCAAATACTGCTGGCTTCAATCGGATTTCAGTTCCTAACATCATTTTCGGGAAGTGACAACTTTAAAGTGTGAACAAATGAAGTCCTGACCCTGAGTGACAAATACCCGAAATTTATCAAGAAGCTTCATCATAATAAATTTATTCAGTGATATAAAAATATCTTTCAACTATACGTTCGAAAATACAATGAATCAAGAGCTATAGAAAATGACGCATTTCAAAAGATATAAGGTCGTAGATAGATAAAGTGTGTAATAGTATACTGAAGACTAATCTAAACCAACTTAAATAAATGGTTGCTATTTGTTGGTGATGCAGCGAGATAGTGTGAAAACAAAAATTAGCACTCAACAGAACTTTTAAGATTAATAATCAAATTTCAAATGTAGAAATTTAAATTTAAAATTTTAAAAAAAGAACATAATATTGTTTAATAATTCAAAAAGATTAATTATTTAATAATTAAATCTTATTTAACTCAAACCAAATAAAATAAATTCTTAAACTTATGTTTACTTGTGTTTAAGTAAATTAAAATAAAAAAAATATTTTATTATACCTATAATGTCTAATAGAACTTGGAAAAGAAGTCTATGTAGGAGACAATCTACGGAACGCGTTTTTCCTTTTTGACAAGTGAACGAGAAGAATTATTAAGCATGAGAATAATACAACCGGGCTTCCAAGATGGTCGGCTGGCCACTAATTCAATGACAATTACAACACGACTACAGGCATCCTACAGATTCATAAGGACTCAGCACTTAACTGGCGCATTTTGCCTTGGTCCAATCAAAACATGTTCAGCTTCAAAGTCCTCTTGCTCATTTTGGCTTGCCTTTGGATATCTGACGCTGCAACAGACACGCTCGGCCAAGGTGATAAGCTCAATTCATCTGATCATCTTGTTTCCAAAAGTGGAAATGTCACCTTAGGCTTCTACAAACAAGACTATGGTGAGACTTGGGGCGACAAAGGCTCCGGGTATTATTTGGCTATGTGGTACACTCAAGACACGTTAAACCATCCCATCTGGTTGGCCAACCGAGACGACCCCATCGCAGATGACTCCGGAGTTCTCACCATAGACAACACCGGACTCAAAATTACACACGCCGGTGGGAATCCTATCCTACTTTTCTCACTTCAGTCTACCGCTGCCAACAACATAAAGCTCGTCTTACAGGATTCTGGGAATCTTGTTTTGCAAGATGAAGACTCTAACAGGCTGGAAAACAGAACGCTATGGCAAAGCTTTGATTATCCAACTGATACTTTTCTGCCTGGGATGAAATTGGGGGTTAGCCGTGGAAGAAACCTGTCGCTTACATCTTGGTTGACTCAATCAATCCCAGCTCCTGGAGCGTTTACCCTGGAGTGGAATCCTGTAGCAGGGGGGTTAGTTGTTCGGCTCAAAGAGAGGGTTTTATGGACTGCTGGTGAGAGTTTTGAAAATATTCTCCCCCTGGACCCACTGAACATGAACTACAATTTCACTAATGTTTCTAACGTTGATGAGCAATATCTTTATTATACGCTTCTAATTGAAGAATATACTCCTGAAGATCGGAGGAAAAACGCAAGGTTGGTATTGTTGGACGATGGGAGTTTGGAACTTGAAAGTAGGTTACTCCTATTTACTTCAGGAACTTGTGCCGGTGATATCACAGAGAATGGTTGCGTGAGATGGGAAGGGCCAAAGTGCAGAAGCAATGGAGATAAGTACGAAAAAATATCTATCAGAACTACACATAAAAATTCGATAAATAATACACTGATGGGGAACACAAGTCTTTCCAAAAACGACTGTAAGGACATTTGCTGGAAAGATTGTGGATGTTTGGGAGTCAACGATCAGTACGTCCTTGGCTGCCAGTTCCTTTCAGGGCCTTACGTCCAAGGTGGGTTGGATGCAACTTCATATCAAGTTATAATTCGTCACCGTTCAAGTAAGTTTAATCTTGGTCTATCCTTAATGTCACTCTTGTGGAACTCAATTTCTTCATTCTTGGTTCCATCAATATCGTCTTTTAATTTTGTTAGATGGTAGAAAACAATCAAACACAATACTGTTCTCCTTGTACATTGATGCAGGGTCGAAAAATTGGATATGGATTTTAATATCTATAGCAATGGCTCTAATGATCGCAATAGTGCTCGGCATCCTGTTTTATTTGAGAAGAAGAAGAAGAATTAGAATGGAAGGTAAAATTCCGCGAACTAAAAATTGACTGAAACGAAGGGGAATAACATGATTTTTCTATAGTGCTTATCTTTTCTGTAAACTTCAACTTGC